AAGCTGCTCCCTCAACCAATGATGAAACTCCTCCATCTGTAGAAGACAAGAATGAAACTTCTGAAGTACAAGATACTGCTGAAAAGTCAGAAGCAGAAGAAACTAACACTGCTGCAGAGGGAACACTTGCTGCAGAGGAAGCAAGTGAGACTGCCGAGGAGGAAGAGGCTGAGAAACCTGAGATCAAGGTTTGTTGCTGCCAAAAAAAACTGATGGTGATATCACTTTGTAGTTTCATGTTGATGGATGCTAAATGCTTTGAAATTTCAATATACAGATTGAAACAGCTCCAGCAGATTTTCGTTTCCCAACAACAAATCAAACGAGGCACTGCTTCACACGCTATGTTGAATACCACAGGTAGGGTTTGTCATTGTGATATTTCATAAAGTCGAGATAAATAAGGATCATTGTGATAAGTCTTCTCATAACTCTGGTTATTTAATCAGGTGTGTGGCTGCAAAAGGTGAGGATGCACCTGAGTGTGATAAGTTTGCCAAGTACTATCGATCCCTGTGCCCAGGTGAATGGGTATGTATTTATTGCCTTCACCACTATGGTTTACATTATGTCCTTGTTGCTTGTTGTGGTGTTAGATTAGAAAAAATACTTTCTGAGGCATGTGGATTATGCATTTCGAGTTGATAAACATTCACTTTACAGTAGCACTGTTCTTTAAAAAGAATAACAATGTTTTATCTGTCTAATACTATTACTGTGCTTTACCTAGATAAAATACTTGAACTTTAGGACATGCTTGGATTTTATAGAGTTCTAAATGGTTGGATATGTTGCTTCACCTTGTCCTTGTCTAGCGAAGTCATGGAGGAGTATGAATGTTTGGTTTTTTGCCTGTGTGCTTGTGGGTCAGGTGGGCATGGATTTCTTAGCTTTCAGGACTGAGGCAAATTAGCTCACCTTTACTAGCAAGGTTTCCATTTTCCCATTATCAAGGCTAGGCAAAGGTTACGTAGAGACCCGGCGTAATCTTAAGAGTTCATAATAAACCTGGTACTGTAGACCTTTGGCTATTAATTCTCTTTTTAATAACCATGAGTGTAGTGATGTAAAAAAGTTGTGTAGTCTTGGTTCTTAACTTGTACCCAGTAGTTGGTGAAATAGATATATTGAATTTTTTCAGTGAAAGATTAACCACCTGAACATAACTGCTTAACCAAGATTCAAGTAATATATATATATATATATATATATATATATATATATATATATATATATATATATATATATATATATATATATATATATATATATATATGTTTGTCTAGTGAATGGAAACCGATATGGTTGGTTTTTCTGGACTTTTTTTTGGGGGGAACGTTGGTTTTTCTGCACTGCCTTTTTAATAGCTTCATATAACTATTCATATTTGTATATAAAGTAATTTTAAGGATGCGGGCAGTATTAGCATTTGAATTTGTTCAAGTTGTGAATAATATAGGTTAGTTAACGTGGACCTTCAGCCCAATATCTGCACTTATTGGCTTTATTGAAGTGAATTGATAGTTCACAGCACTACAACATTAGCATAGTGAATAATAGATTCACAGGACAATGTTCCATTCCATATGCCGTCTTTTGCCCACATGCATACTAAACATCTAATGGTCTAAACATATTTTGTAAATTGCTGACCTTGCACACATTAATTATATAGAATTGAACAAGAGTTCAGTCTCTGTAACTGTATATTGTCTGACTGCACCCAGAACACTAACTGACCTGTTTCCAAATAATGTTCAGTCCCTCAGCTTGCCTTGTTACCGTCTTGGCATCTCAAGCTCGACTGAGTTGTGTTCCATACGCAGGTTGATCGCTGGAACGAGCAACGTGAAAATGGCACCTTCCCTGGACCTCTGTAATCCTACAATGCAAAAGAACTATGATCTCACAATGTTGTGCCGGCTTCTCTTCCTTGGTAGCTGGCGCCAAGTTATCAGGGACAGATAAATCATCTTTTTTGGAGCTCTCTACAAAATAAGAGATTCTTTTTTACTTGAAGAATGCCTTGTTGCTCTTCCTAACGGTCATGTTCTGCGCTGCTGAGAAACTAGCGTCACAGTTACAATTTTCCTTATATACAGTTTAAAAAATGATTCATGGTTCCCCATCTTTTCACTGTAACGCAGTTTGACTGGGCTTACGATGCAAATTTGATGCTGAGGCTGACTCCAACAAGCTATGCATATGGCTACCCAAACTCATTTTGGGTCATGCACAGTCAAAACCAGCCCTCCAACAGAATATGCAAAGGAGAACCCATTTTGGGTAGGAAGGAGAGAGGGAACCCACATATGCATCGTCTTTCTATCGTGACCCAATCCCTGCGCCTTCGACATGGTGGGCCTGTCTTGACGGCTGCGGAGGAGAAGGAGGCCTCGTGCATGACCTACCTGACGGATAGGTCATTGAGGATGGAGAGGACGAGATGCTCGAGCTTGACCTTGACGTCGAGCAGCGGCTCTTTGTCTTGACCCATGGCGGGAACCGCCCGGTGCTTAAGCAGTCTGCTGGCGGTGGGGAGCGGGAGGGAGGCGAGGGGGTAAGAAGGCGGCTCTCGCGACGGGCGCATCCAGGCGGGACTCATGGCCACCTGCTGGCTGGCGAGACGGCGGGTGAGGGCGCGTGGCTAGGCGGGACCGTGGCTGGCGAGGACGGCTCCCCGCTGACAGCGCATCTAGGTGGGACCGTGGCCGGTGAGGACGGCGAGGGCGGTGCGGGGCCGGCGAGGACGGCGCGGTGTCCGCCGCGGCCAGCGAGGACGATGGCGGTGGCGGGAGCCGGGAGGCCAGCGAGGACGGTGAGGTCGGGGATTTGGGGCCTCTGTTGGAGAACGATAGTCTTGGGTGTGGTACCTTTTTACTGTTGATGACCTATACTCAAGAATAGGTCTCCTATTTGGATTTTATCTGTTGGAGACAGTCAGTCATCTTCAAAGTAGTCCGTGGCGATAGACATGCATCATAAAGTGGTCTAGAGTTTTGCACCGCGGCGAAGGAACGTTGCTGCTGCATTCTGTGTTTACCAGTTTTCCGAAGTTGCAAAGTTTTGCTTTTGCTTTTGTTTATCTAGAACCTTGAATATTTTACTCTCGTTGTAGCTTGGGTTAGTTTATTTTTAGGGAATATAAAGGTCGCCATCTTCCATAAAATACCACATATTTCCACCCGGTATTCTTTTTAGGCCTTGTTTAGTTGGCGAATTTTTTTAAGAAATGGTACTATAGCACTTTTATTGTTATTTGGCAATTAGTGTCTAATTATAGTCTAATTAGATTTAAAAGATTCGTCTCGTAAATTTCGTCTAAATTGTGTAATTAGTTTTATGTTTTATTTATATTTAATGTTTCATGTATGTGTCTAAAGATTTGATGTGACGGGGAATCTTAAAAAATTTTGTAAAATTTTGAGAACTAAAAAAGCACTTAGAGGAACACGCGTCAAATGTTCCACTCCATTTCTTCTGGAAAACTTTTTTTTTTAAAAAAAAAGGAAAACCCCACCCTTGATGTAACGTCTCTGACACATTCTCAGTACGGTAACCCCTATTGAATTCCGTTGCACCGAGCCCAGCCAACCAAGCTCGTATGTGCCATCAGCTTGCTCGTAAACGATGGTAAATTTTTAGTCTGAAACAGTATTTTTCTCTCACACCAAACCAGCCAGTAGTAAATAATCCACGATACGATATGGCCTCCCGAACAGACTATATATTTTTTAGTTAACTAACTATAGCCCCCCAGCTTTTTAGATATTATTAAATTATCTTGAAAAAAGTCTATTTCTAGCCTTTAAACTTTGGTTGAAGTATTAAAATATGAGATAGAATTTTGGGACCATAAATGATATCATGAAATAGTTGTCAACTACAAAGTTGGATTGTTCATTTCTCCATCCGGGTTCGTTCGAACAATTTGAAAAATTTAAAATTCAAAATACGAGAACTCCAAACCAACTTTTGGGAGTGTAAATCATTCCAAATGAAACAATCATCAACTAAAATTGTGGATTTTATCATGATCTACAACTTTGGTTTTGATCGTTTCTCCGTGAGTTCTTTCAAACAATTCAAAAATTTTGAATTTTAAAATATGGAAACTTCAAATAGATAGGTTATATGTTAAATAAAATAATATTTTAATATCTAAAAAATCATAACTAATTTATTTAAATATATAGATTATATATTTTTGGAAGACCTTTTGTACTAGTTTCATATCTTTTGATTTGAAAAGCTATTGTGAATTTTACCAATTTACCTATTATTTTTAGACCGGGCAAGGGCTAAAAGTTGTCCATTTTAATAGTTGGAGTGATGTGCATGTTTGATTTTAGAGTTTGAGGGCTAAATTCATACTTCAACAAAAATTCTTGAGCTAAAAATGGACCTTTTCCTATTATCTCTTGCCGAATGAACTTTACAACAAACAATTAAGAAAAGAGTTAAATACACCGGCGGCCCTTAAACTTGTAGCGTTGTGCCACCTAGATCCACGAACTCTCAAAATCGAAATTCGCTCCTCCGAACTTGTTAAATGGTGCACTATAGGTCCATGCCCCTTCGGGAGGTGATGACTAGGCTAAATTTTTTAAAAAAAAACACCCTGCTATTTAAACCATAATGCAAACGAACTGATCACCGTGGACTGATCGCCGTATATCCATTCAGATTCACGCACGCATGCATTCAGGTTTTATAGAGGCTAAGAAAAGCAAAGACGCCAAGAAAGGCAAACGGGAGCCAACTCCACGACGCACGCACGCTGTGGGCGATCGGCGCGCCCATCGCCTTCAACATCATCTGCCTGTACGGCGCCAACTCCACGACACAGATCTTCGCGGGCCACATCATCAACCGCGAGCTGTCCGCGGTGGCTATCGACCTCTCCGTCATCTCCAACTTCTCCTTCGGTTTCCTCCTCGGGATGGGCAGCACGCTGGAGACGCTGTGCGGGCAGGCGTTCGGGGGCGGGCCAGGTGGCCATGCTGGGCGTCTACATGCAGCGGTCGTGGATCGTGCTTGCCGCCTCCGCCGCGCTGCTCATGCCGCTGTACGTGTCCGTGCTCGGATGGGGCGTCGCTGGGGCCGCGCTCGCCTACGACGTGTCGTCATGGCTCACCTCGCTCGTGCAAGTGGCCTACGTCGTGGGATGGTGCTGGGATGGGTGGACGGGGCTCAGCGCGGCCATCGAGCAGCATGAACATCAACGGGTGGGAGGGGATGCTGTTCATCGGCCTCAGCGCGGCCATCAGGTAATTAACACAAATTTCATTGCAGAAAGAAACTCAACAGCCATTAATTGCCATCCATGGATGGTCCATGCAGCGTGCGCGTGTCCAACGGCTCGGGTCCGAGCGGCCCCGTGCGAGCATGTACGCGGTGATGGTGGTGCTGGAGCAGTCGCTGGTGTTCGGGCTGCTGGTCATGGTGCTCGTGCTTGCGACGCGGGAGCAGTTCCCGGCCATCTTCACCGGCGACAGGCACCTGCAGAAGGCCGTGTCCAGCATCGCCTACCTGTTGGCCGTCACCATGGTGCTCAACAGCGTCCAGCCCGTCATCTCGGGCGTCGCTGTGGGCGGCGGCTGGCAGGCCGTCGTCGCCTACATCAACCGTTGCCGGCTGGACGGTTACCGGGAGGCGGAGTCGCCGCTGCGGTGGTCGGAGACGAGCGCGTGGATGGCGCTGGAGAGGCTGTTGACAGCGGAGACAAGGCCCGCGAAGCCCTGGCGCCGCAACTCCAGCGGCAGCCGCCGCTCCTCCAGCTCCAGTACCTCCCGGAGACAAAGGTGCTTTGTTAGTTCGTTTGCATTATGGTTTAAATAGCAGGGTGTTTTTTTATATAAAAAAGTTAGCATAGTCATCGTCTCCCGAAGGGATATGGACCTGTAGTGCATCATTTAACCAGTTTAGGGGTCAAATTTCGATTTTGAGAGTTCGTAGACCTAAGTGACACAACGCTACAAGTTTAAGGATCGCCGGTGTATTTAACTCTTAAGAAAATATATGTTTAACATACTATCCCCCTTTCGGCCTTTCCCCCACCCCACTTTCCAACACACACAATATTTCAAGGTTATCTTTAATCAATATCCTGCTACTAGCTAAAAGCAAAAAAAAAATATATATATCTCTAGGACGCACTCTTGAGCTATAGGCTTCCATCAGCCTGTTCGTTTGGTCGTATTTGGCTTATAAGTCATGGTTTATCAGCTCACGAACAATATTTTTCTCTCACACCATACCAGATAACAATACTTTCAGCCATGATTTATAAGCCAAACTAGCCCAAACGAACAGGGCGCATATTATAGGAGTACAAGGGTCTGTTTGTTTTAACTTTTTTTTTTCTGACATCTACTAGTCGGAAGTTGAGAGGAGTTTTTATAACAAAGGTCAATAGCAAAAAGCCAACAACTAGACAGCCGGAAGTTAGAAAGTCAGCTTTTGGTCTAAAAGACCAAATGACGCATCTTAAACAAATCCTAAATCTCTCACTCAAATTTTTCATAGATGTTGATAAAACGTCTATCTATTATATTCTTCCTCCTCTCTCTCACCCCTTCTTCGCGGAATTGAGGCATGGAATTCTGCCCTGTCCATGTGTTTTCAACAGTCATTGTACCTAAAGTTGCTAACCTCAAACCATAACTCATATCACCTGATAAATCTTAAACACATGAGAATCTCCAACCGTTTGTTAAAGCCACTATCAATCTTGTTTTTTTTTTGGCAAGATGAACCACTCCAATAGCTTCCTAGCCTAACTCCTAATCTATATGCGCTTGGAAAGATGGAGGCATCCACACACAAAAGAATTACGTACAACCGCTGCTCCCTCTGCCCGGAGGTTTTCGCTTGGAATCTCTATTTACTATTTTCATATATAAGAATATTGGGAAGTAAAGGAGGCAATGGAGATTCTGTTTTGTAGAATTTATGTCTGAGTTAGGTGCTGGGTTTCCCTCCACCCACCACTTGGGAGGTTCATTATAATTGAATTTCTAGCTATTATGGAGCTGTTCGGCTGATGATTTCTGCGTCTGATAAGCCGGCTGAAGCTGATTTGTTGTGAGAGAAAAATACTATTACATGGCTGATAAATTCAAGCGAACATGGTCAAATGTTTAAATTCGAGAACACTAAGAGTTAAAGCAGGTAATGAACCAACTGTGGGGCAGTTGGCGTCGTCGTCGTTGTAGCACATGGATGACAACAAGGTTCTAAGTGAGTCTACTTTTTTTTCTGGACACAAATTATTGAAAATTGTTGGTGATAGGGTTATTTTTCATTTTCAATATTTATTGAAAAGATTGCAAAACTAGATTTTTGGAATTAATTTTTTAGACACCATTGAGAGAACTCTAAATAGCAGAAAAAGACAACCCTAGTAAAAGAGCCAAGAGAGGTGAATCTTGCGAGAGCCATAGAAAGGAGCGAAGACAAAAATATCCGATTTAGTGTCGCCTTTTCTCTTAATTTCATACAGTAAGGGCTTCCCCCAACGCTGTTTTTTTACCAGTAGCCCCAAGTGCCATGTAGGATCGGATAAAAAAAGTTGGTGCTCTACACTTGTTATAGTGGCTTGTAGAAGCTACGTATGCTTGGGGAGAGAGAAAGTGGTCCATGCTAAAAAAGGAGAGGGAGAGGAAATAAAAGTGAGGTATGATGAAAGAAAAAAGTTTCTTTACAAACCACGAATAGTGATAGTTTGCATTGTATAAATAATAGTCTCAACATTTTTTAGTCTATGTAAATCACTTTATTTGTACTAGAATCACTAGGAGTGTTAGGGTCTGTTTGGTTGCTGGCCACGATTTGCCACGCCTAAGGTTAGGTGTTTGCCATACCTGTGGGCCACATTCTATGGCAAAGTTAGACCGTTTGATTTATTAGTAAGGCGTGGCAAAAATTACATGGCTATTGTTTGGATGGCTGCCAAAAATATTTGATATGTGGTCTTTGGACTGTGGATGGCTGCAAAAATTACATAGATGAAAACAGTGGATCGAAAAATATATGAATTTTTTGGAATGGATATGGATTAGTGTTGAAAAAGTACACAAAATAGTAGTGTGGACAAATTTAATCATAATGCTAAGCATACAAATTTAATCGTAGTGCTAAGCATACGCTTAGCCCTCAAATTATAGTGATAAATCACCCCCATAGAGTAAAGAAATAGATCAGCACTAGGAAGCTACCGGATTCTTCATGGAGAAAGCTAAAAGTCACTTACATGTGGGCCCGCACTACACGATCTTATCCATTCCCCATTATTTTAGAGACTTTTCTCTACGAGCCATTATAAAAGTTTCTAATTCCTTCTCTGCCACTAAAATTTTTGCTACCCCTCCTCAGTCCTTCGCGCAAAGTTTTCTGGTCGTGTGTGCCACTTCCGTCAGGTTACAGAGTGACGGCCGGTAATGGAGAGATAAGAAGACCTTTTTGCCCCTGTGTCCAGTTAAGTCCCACGAAAAACACCACAGTCTGCCGACGGTCCTCATTTCTCGTCCTCTCTCGAGCTCTCTCTCTCTCTCAAAACCCTAGCCGAAGGAACCAAGGCGGCGACGAGAAGAGGCGGCGGTGACCAAGCACACGTGAGGAGGGGGTCTCATGGGGTAGGGATCAAGAGGTTGACCCACTGGATCCAAGGCCGCGTGCAGTAGGGGCCTTGGTTGAGGGTGACCGTGAGATCCAACCAAGGCGGCGGCGAGAAGAGGCGGCGGTGACCAAGCAGATCTGCACACGTGAGGAGGGGGTCTCATGGGGTAGGGATCAAGAGGTTGACCCACTGGATCCAAGGCCGTGTGCAGCAGGGGCCTTGGTTGAGGGTGACCGCGAGATCCAGGGAGTCGCCATGGTGGAGCCGGAGGTGCGCCTGGCGTGGCTTTCAGACGGGTAAGCTGTTGTCTTCTTCTTCTCTTGTTGTCCTCCATTGTCATGCACTTAGCCTAAGAGATTGTAGGTGCTTAGTTTGTTGCCGTAGATATGCCTTAATCGATGGGTGTTCGTATGTAGGATGGACCCCAAAACGAGCTACAAATTAGAAATAAGGATCGTTGCGACAAATTCTCGATGCCGTTGGTTTAGCATAAGCACAGTTGTAGATTCTGACACAACCAATTTCAAGGATTTGGTCGAAGACATTGTGGATAAGTACCCTTGTGGTTATGGTGACATTGTTGACATGTTCTACTACTGTGGTGAAACCAAGTCCAACATCAAAGTCAGCAGTGACCATGATTTAGTTACTATGTTTTCCAAAAATGCTAGTGCCAAGACCTGCTTGTTGACCTTTGCTTACCATCCTATGGGTACTGATACACCAGTCATTCCACTATGGCATGATTTAGCTGAAATGCCTAACTCCTCTATGCAAGCCTGTAACCTAGCTGAGCCTACACCAGCACCAACCCAAACACAAGCATCCACTCAAACACAAGCTTCCCTCTCAAGCAGCAACAACCAGCGATGATGACAACTACCTAAACAATCACGAGCCATAGAATGAGCACGTGGGTGTGGATGAGGAGGGCATGTACATAGAATTAGAGCCATGGACCAAAGTGCTGATGCATTTGAGGAGGATGTACATTTACGACGAATGGGAATGGATTACGATGATGATGATGATGATGATGATGATGATGATGACTATGAGGAGGATGAGGCAGATGAAATGGTCAAAGATAAAGTTCCACTTAGTAATCCTGAAATAGTGTATGACAAAAATGACCCACCAATGACAGTAGGCAGCATCTATGAAAATATGTCTTGTTTTAGGTTGGCTTTGGCTACACATGCAATCAGAAATGAGTTTGAGTTTAACATAGAGAAGAGTGATCCAGGGAGGTACAGGGTCTACTGCAGTGCCAAAATTGATGGATGTAGGTGGAGGATTCTTGCATCTACAGGTGCAGACAAGACAACAGTGAAGGTAACTCTTGCCATCTTGCTTTTTTTTGTTGATTTACTTATAAGAGATCTCTACTTATAATTGGTGTGACATATTTGCAGGTGAAGAAGAACCCATATCCTCATGACTGTCAAAGCACAAGAAGAGGTGGTAAAGTGAAGTGTGCAACCAAGTTTTGGGTTTGTGAAAAGGTGAAGGACTAGGTATTTGAGGATCCCAAGGTGTCAGCTATGGAGCTACAAAAGAGGATCAAGGATAAATTCAAGGTGGTTGTGCCTTACAAGAGAGTATATAATGGTAAGGAACTAGCTCACAGCCAATTATTTGGAGATTGGAGGTCTAGTTTTGACAATCTGTATAGGTTCAAGTTGCAAATTGAGAAATCTTGTCCAGATAGCTTTGTATTAATTGATCATCATACCATTAATAACAAGATTAGGTTCAATAGACTGTTCTTTGCCATGAAGCCATGTATTGATGGGTTTCTTCAAGGCTGTAGGCCATACTTGTCAGTTGATAGTACATTTCTCACAGGCAAGTTTAGAGGTCAGCTATGTGTAGCCTGTGCAGTAGATGGGCACAACTGGATGTATCCAGTTGCAGTTGGAGTCATAGATTCAGAAACAAATGAGAATTGGATATGGTTCATGGAGAGACTGAGAGATGTTATAGGGAGTCCACCAGGTCTAACCTTCTGTACTGATTGTGGTCAAGCAGTGATGGTCGGTGTGAGTGAGGTATTTCCTAATGCAGAGCACAGAGAGTGTATGTGGCATCTTGTTCAAAATTTTAAGAAAATGTTCCATGGACAGGTGTTTGATGATCATTTGTGGGCATCATCTTACTGATTGGAACTCATACCTTTTTGAGAAACCTTTGGTCGAATGGCAATGGCGGTGACTAAGCCGTGACTATGGTTTATCTACAATGAGAACCATAAGAAGCTATGGACCGAAGTCAATTTGGAGTCACATGTAAGATAGACTATGTCACAAATAATTTAGTTGAGAGCTTCAACAAACTGGATCAAAGGTGAAAAAGGCGAGAATTTAGATGACTTGCTTGATACAATCAGATGAAGTTATTAATCAAATGGAACCATGAAGGAAGATTGCAAAGGCGGATGCGAGGGCAAGATACTTCCACACATTGTGGACAAGCTGAAGGAGCAAAGCAGGAACCTAGATATTGATGTCATAACTAGCGGCGATGGCATTGCAGAGTTGTGTGCAAGAGGAGGATCAAGCTTCAGATTTGTTGTGAATTTGGAACAAAGGACTTGCACTTGTAGGGCTTGGCAGGTCTTAGGCCTACCATGTAAGCATGCACTGGCCTACATCACTAGCATAAGAGGAGAGAAAATTGAAGACCATGTGGACAACTACTACTCAGTGTAGAAGTTTAGGTCAGCTTATGAGGGTATCATCCCTGCCATTCCTGATAAGTCCATGTGGCCCAAATCTGATCATGGCTTCTTCATGCATCCACATCTTCTCAAATCAACTGCTGGTAGAAGGAAGACAAGGTTCAGAGGAGCTACTGAAGGTGGCAACAAAGGCAATAAAGGCAGGCACCAGTGCCCTATTTGCCATGAATATGGGCATCACTGGTACACTTGTAAAGATGGAGATCCTGCAGACATTGCAGCAATGCTAGCTGATAGGTGAGATTCTTTGTTTTAGATTTTTGTGTTGGGTTGTATGTGACATACTTAGCAGCTATGACAGTTTGTATTTATCTATTATAGGGGACCACCTAAAAGGAAGAAGAAAAAGGCAACCCCAGCCTCAACTGAAACAAGCATTGTTCCTGTTCCTACCAGAATGGTGTTCCCTGATTTGCCCCCTGGTACAACTGCCACAACTGAAGCAGCTGCTGGAAATAAGAGGAAAACAACATCAGCAGGTTCTAAGAAATCAAAGAGCTCATCCTCTGCCTCAGCAACTTCAATCAGGTACAGCTATCACATATATCTGATCAATGTAGTATCATTAGATAGCAAATGTCCTGTTAGATGCATGTTTACCATGTTGATCCAATGCATAACTCGGGAATATATTTGTTGAATCAGTGCTAAAATAATTTGCTGGATTCAGTGTCACACTCTGAGACAATAATTCATCCATCTGAGGAGCCAACAAGTCTAACAATATTTAAAAATCAAATACTGTGGTGTATTTGCACTTAGATAAAACTAAAATCGTCCAACTCCATAAACTTGCACTTGAAAAAAGAATCCGAAGAGTAATCTTTTAAATTAGCTTTGACATAGTCCAGTGATATCCTGAAGTGCTTTTCTTCCAGATTGGCCCTGGTTAGGTAATATCTCTCGGTAATCATTTTCTTCTGCAATGTCACTGTCTTCATCAATTCAGAAGCATAAAAGCTCAGGAATTGAACCCATATGCTCTAAAAGGGGTCAATGGATTTTCACCATTATCCTGTTTGTTGGCAGCATTTGAGGAACATGACGCTACAACATCAGAAGTAATGAAAGAACCCTTATGTCCCAATCCACTTGAACCAAAAATATCTGTTATTCTGCCATCAATACTTACACTGTGTTGTCTTCCATCATCATTAAACAAACAATTTGCAGCTTTCCCTGACATAGTTGCCAATAGCTGACGCATGCCACTTACTGTGCTCATCTTATATTTATTAGAGGTATTAGAATTAAATGTACCAAATTGTCTGGAATCATGAACGCTCCCAAATGTACTTTCTTCAGTAGTTGAGCTATCCAATGGAAGAGAAAAATCAAAGCTCTCAAATTGTGGCATTGCATCATTAAATTCCACAGAGTCATCATCCTTTTGCCTTGGGGTAGTATCATCAGATAGCAAATGTCCTATTAGATCTTCACTTCTAAATTTCCTATCAACTTCCACGCCAGAGTTCCAAAATGGAGAAGAACTGAAACACATACCTCTTGACTGCAGAGTTCCATAGAGCTGCTAGCCAATGGAGAACTTGCAGCAACATCAAAAATATTTTGTAACTGTGCTTGATAGTTTTGGAGGTCCATTTCTTCAATTACATTCTTGCTGCTGATACCATTACTAAAATTAGGTGATAAAACCTTTGCACTAGAAGAGTTACAGAGAGCAACCTCAGATAGGCTGAACCTATCTCCTTCAACTCCTTTTTAGAATATTTTATTTTTGTGGCTAGTTGCTTTAGTCTAGATTATCTGACAGAAGCTTCATCTCACCTAGTTTAGCTTTTATCTGGTACTGCTTTTACTCCTAAGCAAACCAAGGCACTAATCCAATACTTTTTTTTTGCTTTAGAAGATCTGGAACAGGCTCCAATCAGCCAGAAACTGGAAGCCAACCTTTGCCTTTGAGCATTGTGTTCCCTGCTAGCCTGGAGCCAGAAACTGAGCATGTCAACACTGCTGACGATATCAACACAGCTAAAAACAAAGGGAGACCCAAGACAGCAGTGAATAAGAAAAGGAAGCTTAACAGTCCTGCTATGAATACAAGAGCCAAGGTATCTACAACTCCAGATAGTCCTGCTATGGGTACCAGAAGCAAAAGGAAGCTTGACATTTAGTTGTTGTCTGTGGGATGACTCAAAACTCTAGATATTTTGTAACTCATATGTATGTGCTATGGGTACCATATCCTGCATTTTGTAAGACCAAAACAGTGGTCTGTGCATGACCAAAACAATGGTCTGGTCTATGTCATGACCAAAACAATGGTCTGATCTATGTCATGACTGGTTTGTGAAATGTTGTTATGGTTTGTGAAATTTTCGTAACTGGTTTGTCAAATTTGTTGTTCTGGTTTCTGAATGAGATCTCTTTCTGAATCTGTGTTAACTTGTTTGTCAAATTTGTGGCGTCAAGGGCAAGTGAAAAATTCTGCTCCTGACGCCTGGACACAGGGGCAAAAAGGTCTTCCTATCCCTCCATTACCGGCCGTCACTCTGTAACCTGACGGAAGTGGCACACACGACCAGAAAACTTTGCGCGAAGGACTAAGGAGGGGCAGCCAAAATTTCAGTGGCAGAGAAGGAATTAGAAACTTTTATAATGGCCTGTAGGGAAAAGTCTATTTTTAGGTAGCAGATGCGGCTTTCGAGGCTTGAAGCCATGGCCCTCCACTCCATCCGCCATGGGCGCATCAGTAGAGCTCAAGCAGGAGTCCAGTTCTACCCCCATCACGCTCGTGATGTCGCCGGTGCGCCTCAACTCCGCCGAGCGCGCCTCGTCGTCGTCTCCGTCTTTGACTCCGCCGCTGGGAGTGGTGGCATGGTGAATTGGGCCCGTGCAGACGGTGGCCGTCGCGGACGAGCTCATGGTGGAAGAGGCATGGCATAGCATGAGGAGTGGCAGGAGAGAAGTGTGTCGGAGGCGGAGGAAAAGCCCGCCACACTTCAACGCAGAAAAACTATGGCGAGTGTTTGTCAGAAGCGTGACGAGCCGTAGTTGAATCACGAACCAAACGCTTGCCTAAGCAACCATGGCGAGCCTCAACTTAGGCGTGGCGAGTGGTGGCTGGCAACCAAACATGCCCGAGCCTCTATTGGTGGTGACCTGAGACTGTCTTCAACAACCGCGACCCAAAATACAAGATCCATTTATCATTTGGGAAGTGTTACAGGCAAATGGTTCAATACCTATTTTTGGTCTTCTCCAACAAGAAGACCCAAAAGACAACTCTTTCTGCAAATGTGTCTCTAGGAGAGAGGATACTCAGATTTAGGTTATGCCTCTCCTGACACCAAAAATGGGTCTTCCAAATAGATACTCTGTTGGAGGCTATATGTATTGTGTTGAAAACCTATTTTAGGTTTGGGTTTTGCAATGGGTCTCCTGTTAGAGACAGCCTGATAGCAAATCTTTGGATACCCTGTCAGCCTGTGGTTAGTGGGTATTGGTAAACTTCAAGGGGCTATTGCGTTCTTGCCCCTATTTTGAATCCCAATTGTGATTTTACCCCCATTTTCTTCCACTTTGTGTTTTTACCCCTGCTTTTTCAAAACGAAGGTTTAGTTTACCCCTACTCCATGAACAGCAGGTAACGGTGTTAAAAAAGTTGAAACATGACGAGTTTGCCCTTCCAAATATTGCATTTTTGCCCCTATTTCAAACCCCAATTGTGATTTTACCCTCACTTTCTTCCACTTTGTGTTTTTACCCCTACTTTTCCAAAACGAAGGCTCCGTTTACCCCAATTCTTATCTCAGTTATCTACATCTGGATCAAAGCAATTAAAAATTAACAAAAGCCCTGTGAAAAGATAAACTTACCCCTTATCTCTCGGTCATCTCTCTCAGGGTCGTCCCTCTCAACGCTAGCAGGCAGCGGGCGGCTGGGTGCGGCGGCGGTGGCGGCGGAAGAGCAGCGTCGGGCCGTCGGGCGAGCGCGTGCGGCCAGGCGGAGGAAGCGGCGCGGGCGCGGACGGCTTAGCCTGACGTGGGCGCGCAGCCAGGCACGCGGCTCTGCTTGGCCGGGTGCGCGCGACTTGGCTGGCGTCGCGAGTGCGCGTCTCGTGAAAGCAGCCGACCATGGAGTGTGCTGAGTGATAGAGTCCACTTAATGTCGATGCACGCACAGGTGACGGCGGTGGACTGGGCGTGGTGGATCGGCCTCCTCCTCGGCGTCGTTCTGCTGCTCGCGCTCGCTGTGTGGCACAACAACGACGTCTGCCACTGCGCCTTCTTCGCGCTGAAGCGTTGGCGCCGTCGTGCGAGGCTCCCGCCGGGCCACTTGGGCCTCCCATTTGTGGGCGAGAGCCTCTGGCTGCTCTGGTACTACAAGCTCGCGCGCCGCCCCGACGGCTTCCTCCACGCCAGGAGGAGGCGCTACTACGTCGGAGGCCGCGCGGCGACGTGGGCGTGTACCGGACGCACCTCTTTGGCTCGTCGACCGTCCTCGTCTGCTCGCCGGCGGCCAACAAGTTCATCCTCAAGTCCTCCCAGGATGGCACCTTCGGCATCCGCTGGACCGCGCCGGAGCTCGTGGGCCTCTCCTGCGTGGTCAACGTCGAGGGCAGCCAGCAGGCTCCGCGGGTTCATCCTCGCCGCCATCAACCGCCCCGGCTCACTCCGGGCCATCGCCGAGGTCGTCCAGCCGCGTCTCGTGGCGGCACTGCTGTCGTGGGCGGACAAGGGCACCATCTCCGCCGCCACTGAGATCAAGAAAGTACGCATACATGCTCCTTAATTAGCTATATATTCATACGCACAGTGATGCATGCTAATGCGTTTATTTGAAGCCATAAATCGAATAACTAACGCATGTGCTTGTAGGTGACGTTCGAGAACACATGCAAGATGTTCGTGAGCAGGGATCCGTCGCCTCTCACCGATAAGATCTTCATGGTCGCTCTTTCACACGGCGCGCAGCGACCGCGACAGTAAGCCACGCGCGCGCGCGACGCCGGCCAAAGCCCGCGCAGCGCGCGCGTAAGCAGAGCCGCTTTGCTGGCTCAAGGCGCCACGTCGAGCTAAGCCGCAGCGCGCCGCTTCCTCCGCTGCCGCCGCGCCGCCGATCGATTTTGACGCTGCTCCGCCGCCACTGCTCATTGCACCTAGCCGCCCACTGCTAAGCGTTGAGAGGGACGACCACGAGAGAAAGCGAAGAGAGATAAGGGGTAAGTTTGTCTTTTCATAGGGCTTTTGTTAATTTTTAATTGCTTTGATCCGGATGTAGATAACTGAATTAAGAATTGGGGTAAATGGAGTCGTTTTGGAAAAGTAGGGTAAAAACACAAAATAGAAGAAAGTGGGGGTAAAATCACAATTGGGGTTTGAAATAGGGGCAAAAACATAATATTCGGAAGGACAAACTCGTCATCTTTCAACTTTTTTAACACCGTTACCTGCTGTTCACGGAGTAAGGGTAAATTGAACCTTCGTTTTGGAAAAACAGGAGTAAAAACATAAAGTGAAAGAAAATAGAGGTAAAATCACAATTGGGGTTCAAAATAGGGCAAGAACACAATAGCCCCAAACTTCAACCTCATCGGAATTTTGGTGTTCCACTTTAGCCAATCTATATCTGCGTATCAGTTTTATTTGCAGTTTGGCTTTGCGATTTTATTCCCAGTAATACAAACATTGTATATAATATTTTTTTATGGAACAGGAGGGGTGTGAGCCCCTACTGAAATTTTATTAAAACTGGTCTCCACAGTACAAACGTTCAAAAAAAATTCAGTAGAGAATTGTATTGTCGTATTGTATGTAATATTTGCAATCTTTCTGCAGTTAATTCAATTAATTTGATGCTGAATCCTGTAGAGAAGGCTTATAAGCTAGTAGTGCAGTGTGTAGCTGTTTTGTCAAATTTCTTATGTGTTTAAGCTTGCATCAAATCCATGGCTTTTTTCATAGTAAACCATGTTAACCTTGTCTATCTGCAGCCTCTGAGCTAAATGGTGTTTTCATACAAGTTTTACCAATGTACTGCTAATGCCCTGTGCCAATGAAATATGGGCGTCATGTAGATATATGAATTTTCAGTGCTCTGCATTTTTGTGTGTTTTGTTTATTTGAAAGAATAGGAGGGTCTAGCCTCTATTGATTATATATTAACAATAAGAAACAATAAAGTCTGTACAAAAAGAAGAAGCTCTACACTCTTCGACGCAAGGGATTGGATAAACTGAACTTTGTAGGAAGTTTAGCGCCAGCCTTTAGCAATATATACCCATCTGTCTAGCACGTTTTATTCTTTGTTTCGGTAATACAACATTGTCTGTAATATACGCCTTTGCTATTGTGAAAAAATCCTCTCAATATATTGACATGTATAAATGTGGTATTATTTTAACATGACTGCAATTCTTACGGCTCTAATGATTTTGCAGATGCAACAACTAATTAACCGATTGTTTCCCTTTGGGCGAGGCCTATGCCATGCTTACTGGGCCCCAAACTTTTGGGTATTCTATATTATACTTGACAAGATTCTTGCATTTCTCCTTAGAAGACTAGGCTTTAATATTGCCATACCTGAAGCTTCGTTTACTGGGGGACTCGTTGGTGATTCGTCTCCTTTTGCTGTTCTTCCGAAGGTTCTTTCTTCCACCATCCATTCTTCCTGTTCTTTTTGTTTATTCCAATGAAACATGATGGGTTTATGGTTTCACATCTGTGAACTTAATGGATTGCAGGTCACCCCAATTGCTACATTCTTATTGGTCATTCTTGCCATGGCTCCTTGTCTTATCAAAGCATTCTCTAATCCTCAACCAAAGCATATTATTAGATTGGTCTCGTATGCATGCACATGTGGGTTTATGTTTGGATGGCATGTACATGAGAAGGCATCACTTCATTTCACTATCCCACTTGCCCTAATTGCCATGGATAGCTTGAACGATGCCAGGCATTACTTTTTGTTGTCCATAGGTATGTTTTGCTCTTGGTTACAGTTCAAAGTTTACTTTGTTCCACTTGTGTCATTTCTTGAATCAACGTTTTTGGGTGCCTTTTCTGTCCATGAAAAAAAAGATTCTTTTGCAATTTTGCCCACCTCAGTATCTGCATTATTCCCATATTATGTTTTTTAAGTAGTATTATGATTGTCATGTCAGAAATGTGATAAACCTGGCTAACTGGCAATTAATCATTTGCTTAAAAAAATGTATCTGCAGTTTCATGCTACTCTCTATTCCCTTTGCTGTTTGAGAACCAAGAGTACATGATAAAGGTGATGCTGCTGCTGACCTACGCCACTCTCATGTGGGTAGGTTGTACATCCCATTTTGCTGCAAACTCTGACCTGGAAGGAAAGAAAGTAAATCGGTCAGGCAGCACAGTGAAGAAGAATGGCATCATTGGATGGATTGGTTTAAGCTATCTTTTGGGAATCGTGGGTATAGAATTATGGTCTCAATTATTTCACCATCATGTGTTCGGTGATAGTTCCCCTTCCTACCTCTCATAATGGTGTCATTCTATTGTGGCCTCGGAATGATATACTCCTGGGTGTGGCAGCTCGTATGTATAGTCAGACACATGATTTGATTACCGGTGATCAATATAAGCATTCTCTTGCCTTTCTTGGGTTGAGACTAATTGCAATGACATGCTGCCTGGACCGATGCAGCAGCCAACAGTCATGACTCATGACTGGGACAGCATTTTCTTTTAGTTGTCGAAGTCATTGTTTGTGTGCAAGAAATTTTAGAGATGTTTGACCATGTTATGATGTAATGTCAGTTTAAGTAACAGAAGCTGCTTGTATGATCTCCTTGTCTCCCCATCTTTTACAATCTCAATAACATCTGGCTACTGCGTTGAGTCACTGAGTGTGTATGATGTATAACATCTAGCTACTGCGTTGACTGAGTGTGTATGATGTATGAACGATTCAAATTTATAGGAAGAAAAGAAATCAAATGGGATGTATGATCTCCTTGTCATCGATCTGCAATTCCGCATACATGCCGATTACGTTTGCGAGATGATGCGTAGAACCTGTGCCTGCCTTAGCTCCTTCTAGACTAAAGGCTTTGCCTGCCTTAGCTCTGAATACTGCATTCCTGACTTGAGCTTGCTGAATGGAGCCATACACCGGATATGCAAGCTAGTGAGCGATTTTTCCACTGGCTTGTGCTAGGTATAGGTACCAGCTCTTTGCCTGATAGCATATTGGTGCTTCTCGTCTTCTCTGCTCAGCCAACGCCACCCAATGCAGACTTTCGATTGCCATAGGTCAAGGTCTGCTGATGCTGAGGGTGCACGGTAAAGGGGCTCGCAGTTGCGGCCAGCCGGCAAGTTTAGAACGACTGAACTGAAATTGAAATGGGCAAACCAGGGACGCCGGGACAGAGCGGAATTAACCAAAAAAAAAAAAATCAGTTTAGACTTTAGAATTGACTGAATTGCAATTGAAAGGGGAAACAAGGGATCGAATTAACAAAAAAACAGTTTAGGATTGTCTGAATTGAAATTGAAAGGGGAAACAAGGGATGGAATTAACAAAAAAACAGTTTAGAATTGACTGAATTGAATTTCAAAGGCGAACAAGAGACAAACTGAATTGAATTTGAAAGGGGGAACAAGAGACAAAATCAAATTGAAAAAACATAAAAAATTTATCAGGGCCAAAAACAATTGAATTTGAAAGGGGGGACAAGAGACAGAAACAAATTGAAAAACCATCGAAAACCTTATCAGAGCCAGGTTTCGATCCTGGGACCTGTGGGTTATGGGCCCACCACGCTTCCGCTGCGCCACTCTGATCTTTGTGTCATAAAGAACTACGACTAGTTAATAAATGATACAAGTAGCTTTTTACGCTAAACAATTTTGTTCAAATTACGGTAAGTTATGACAGACTATGACATTCCAAATGGACACGCACACAAATTCTACAGTTCCAAAATAAAACAACACTTATTACTTCACCTCATATGTCACTGGTTACCGTGTTTTCAACCTAGACATTGCTATGCGGATTCGACGCATCACCAACAGTATTCTCACATAAGCTTCACTCCACGCGTGTGGGATCCGGTGACTAAAATTTAGGAGTTATGTTGGGAGGATGTTGTATGGGGTGTTCGGATAATAATAAAAAACAAATTACATAATCCGTCAGTACTCCACGAGACGAATTTTTTAAGCCAAATTAATCCGCCATTAGCACATGTTACTGTAGCACCAAATTGTCAAATAATGAACTAATTAGGCTTAAAAGATTCGTCTCGCAAATCTAAATTTTAGTCGCTGTCCTATCGAATGTTTGACATATGCATGGAGTATTAAATATATACCAATTACGAAACTAATTGCATAGTTTGCGACTAATTTGCGAGACGAATCTTTTAAGCCTAATTAGTCCATGATTTGACAATGTGGTGCTACAATAAATATGTGTTAATGGCGGATTAATTAGGCTTAAAAAATTCGTCTCGTGAAGTACTGACGAATTATGTAATTTGTTTTTTTATTAGTATCCAAACACCCTATGCAATATCCTCCCGACACAACTTCTAAATTTTAAATTTTAGTCACCCTATCAAACACTCCAAACACCGCCTATCCACGCCATAGAAACAAAGACATCGACAAACAAAAAGGCAAAGTGGAATGCTGACCCAACAAGCCTCTTCTCATGCAGCTTTTTTCTTATTCAGGGCGCTGGAAGCCAATTTCCATCGAGGCCTTGTTTGGTTGGCCGAATTCGCCGTCGCCGGATTCACTGTGCGCAACTGTAGCGCACTGTAGCATTTTGTTTATATTTGATAATAATTGTTCAATCGTTGACTAATTAGGCTCAAAACGTTCGTCTCACAAAGTACAACCTAACTGTGCAATTAGTTTTTGATTTCGTCTATATTTAGTACTACATGCATGCACCATAAATTTAATGTGACGAGAAATCTTCTTTTTCATAGCGCCAAATTAGAAGTTGGGAGCAACTAAGGCCCCGTTTGGCACGGCTCCACTTCACCCATGAAGCCATTTTTTAGGGCTTCAGCTCCATGAACAGCTCTATGGGTGGAGCTGTAGCCGTTTTGATAAATCGTTTGGCAAAACAGCTTCACATATAGTTTTTCTTAAAATATGCTCTTAGAGAACGCCACGTAGAATGAGGTGAAGCCGAGAGAAGCCACTATTTTTGGCTCATTCTCACCCCAAAGCTCTATGAGAACACGTTTTTAGGGCTTCACGTCGGTGGAGCCGTTTTATTTTATCTTGTTTGATGAGAATAAGCTCCAAACAACTTGTAAAACCGCTAAAAAACCCTACCAAACGGGACATAAACAAGGCCGGGATGCTTATGTCTGCAGTTCCAAACGCATGCTCGGAAAGTAGCACATGACGAAACACACATCTTCTCTGGGTCCCACAAAATCCGACGGCTGCTACAGGCCTACAGCGACGCGGCAACCAACCTCCCCCCGTCCTCCGGCAAGCTCTCCCCGACACCACACAACTTCACGTCACGGCACCGAGCCCCTTCGAATCCCGGATCCGCGAGCGCAGGCCACAACCAATCGGAGCGCGCCATTCCACGCTGGCGATCCTCGCCCCGAGCCTGGGAGAGCTCCTGGCCGTCCGATCAGACGGGAAGAAACACACACACAACCGATCCGGACCGCCCACCCAACGCGCACCGGATATACCACGCGGATGCCGCCCTATAAATAAGACCCCGCGGCCTAGCTTTCTCATTTTCTTCGGCCTCCTCTTCCTCGCGTGGCGACCCCCCCGATTCGAAGCGTGCGGAGAGAGCGAAGCAGCGGGAGAGGTATGCTTCGAGCCCTTCCCCTCTATCCTTCTTCGGCGGTTGGTTTCCCTAATTCTAGAAGGCGTCGTTTTCGTGGTTCTCGCGGTCGTGCGGATTTTGCTTGTTTTGTTCTTTGATTTGATTAGAGATGTGCGGTTTGGGGATCAGACGGGTTAGGGCTTCGGCGAGTTGCTCTGCAGCGGCGGCCGGCCGGCGGCTATGGGGTGTTAGGGTTTACTCGAGCGGTCTACTTCGATTTGCGCGGATACTGTTTGTCGCGTGCTGGTAGGCGTTGTTTCGACTCGGTTTGTTTCTAATGGTTGGGTACTGTAGCGATTATGGGGGTGATTTTGGTGGAACTGTTCCGATCTCGTGCGGAATCGTGGTCCTGCTCGGAATTATAGGTGAATTTAGGGGCGCTTGTTCTCATGGTTCCATCGCCCTTTGGAATTTTAGTGTTATTGGGGATTAACATGTGGGATGGTACTCACTAGTTCACATGTGAGTTTATTGCGGAATAGCACTTCTGATTTGTATTTGCTGGCGAATTTAGTGGACTTGGCTTTTGTTCTTCCATTTAGTTGTCACTCTCAGGTTGCCATTTGCTTGTCTATGATAATTTGTGTTGTTTCGTCTCTTGCGGAATTGCATCTCTTATCCTGAGTCTAGGTGAATTTAGGGATTTAGTGCTTGTTCACATAGTTCCCTCCCTCTCTGAAATGTAGTGTCATATACTGGGAATTCAACGCATGGATGTTATGAGAGTTAACTGTGATTGTACTTATCCGAGTTTGTTATGTAATATTTGTGTTCTCTGATGAATTTAGTGGATTTTGTTATTGTTCCTGTCATTTAGGCTCTGTTTGGTTTCCCATGACTAAAATTTAGCTACTAAAACTAATGACTAAACTTTAGTCATTCCTGTTTGGTTCAGTGACTAACAGTGGACTAAAGGCCATTAAAGCAGTTCAACAAAGACCAAACTACCCCTAATGAATGCCCAAATCAGGGTGGGGGACCAGCAATAATGAGGGGCAGCCCTTGTCCACTGTGCACTTTATTCAACTTTGAGCTACTCTTGGGTGACTAATATGACGAAACTACTTTAGTCCCTTTTTAGTCAGTTTGTTTGGCATTTTATTAGCTAAAGTGACTAAAGTTTAGTAGCTAACCAAACAGGCCCTTACTTGTCACTGTCAGGCTGATTATGTTTCCTATTTGATTTCAAGTCACTCCTGATATTAGCTGTTAGATTGCTAATACTACATCTGGTTTCATCAGATTGTTCAGTATGAATTGAGGCCTTTTCTCTACAAACTTTCGTTTCTTGTCATGCTGGCTGAATTCTGTACTCTTGTTTGAGCCATTACTGTAGGACATATAGTTGCTAATTTGTAGTGCTGTTACAGGTTATAGGGTGACCCAGTTATAGTGCTAGTTGTTGAGTCTGACAAATATAATTAAATGTTTTGTTGTCGACAGCAAATGTCTGTGATTTCATGGCCATATTTAATTTCCTGCTTTAGTGTTTTGATTGATGATTATATATCTCTGTTGTTTAACTTAATTCTGAACAACTTGTCTGAATCTGAATGTAACAGATTGATAAAGAATTTTGGTTCACATGGTGATACATGTTAATTGACTGCATCACAAGAAACCTAGATTCTTGTTGCAATTATCACTTATGTTGTTGGGCCTCTGTAGTATGTCATTTGTTTCTGTGATTCATCGTTGTTAATAGCCATATCTTCATACCATGTTGTGAACGTTCACTATGTTTTAGATTTGTGAGCTTTGGTTGTATATATGCTATACCGAGGATTTGATGCTTTACATAATTGTATGTTGTGTTTGTTGCAGTTTATTCCAGTAACATAGGTTGTTAGATGCATATATTGTATGTTGTGGACCAGGTGTTCGCAATCCCCTCCCTCTCACGCAATCCCTCTCTATTCCCGTGCGAATTCCTCTGTACGCGCGCGCTGGAAACGACGGAAGGCAGGAGAAGTCCCGCGCAGGAGCAATTTCCTGCCCTGGGTCCCTTCCCTTTCCCGCGTGCGTCTGCTCACGAGTATGGCGACTGCCTCAGGCTGGTTGGCGTCGCCCCAGACGCCTAACGCAAAAGGCGGACGCCTTAGACGCCGAGGCGGACGCCATACGTTTCCTGGCTAGGCGGCCCCCGATGCCCAGACATTTCCGTCGCTTGGATGCCTAGTTGTCGCCTTAAAAACATTGGTGCTGATATGAAAACTGAAGTTTACTGGCCATATTTTTGTTAGGTTTTTGTGGCCCTGAACACGTTTTTTTTTGCTTTCTTAATTAATGCAGATGGCTCGTACCAAGCAGACTGCTCGCAAGTCCACAGGAGGGAAGGCTCCCAGGAAGCAGCTTGCAACCAAGGTAAGGTTATTTAGATAATGGTACCTTATTTCCTTTTTTTGATGTTTGATTTGACCCTGATATTGGATTCAAGCCATGACTGAATTTGTCCCTTTGGCATATTGCTTCATAGGCTGCCCGTAAGTCAGCCCCCACCACTGGAGGAGTGAAGAAGCCTCACCGCTACCGTCCTGGAACTGTTGCCCTCCGGTCAGTAGAACATCCTTGGATTCTTCTGTTGAATCTGTTATTGTGCTGCATTACTGATATGTTTGTTTTGCAAATGTAATTTATCAGTGAGATCCGCAAGTACCAGAAGAGCACTGAGCTGCTGATCAGGAAGCTGCCCTTCCAGAGGCTTGTCAGGGAAATTGCACAGGACTTCAAGGTAATTCCAATCTCTGAATTCAACCTCCAGAGGTTCAGTTATGTCCTTGCATCAAGTTGTTGATGGAACCTGTTGTTTTGCAGACTGATCTTCGTTTCCAGAGCCATGCTGTGCTTGCCCTCCAGGAGGCTGCCGAGGCATACCTTGTTGGCCTGTTTGAGGACACCAACCTGTGCGCCATCCATGCTAAGCGTGTGACCATCATGCCCAAGGACATTCAGCTGGCAAGGAGGATCCGTGGCGAGAGGGCCTAATTCCCCTCAAATCATCGTGACAAAAATGAAGTCTTGTGTCGTAGCAATGATTTTAATCTGGTGCCGTTGTAAGGACATATGAGTAGGGTTTATTTTGTGGATCATAAGTTTCTCTACCGCCGCACTATGTGTTGCTGCTACATTTGCTGGTGTTATTACTAGGGTCGAATGCTTAAATGCTTAAATTGTCAAGTGTTGTAATCCGCTGACAGTCTGTGACGTGTATGCGATTCCGGCACTGACTAGCAGTGCTGTCTGCGTTGCTGGATCTTGCGCCTCATTGCTGTGGCTGATTTGTTCGTTAATGTCGAGAATTGTGTTACAGTGCGTGTATATTTGTGCATCGCCGCATTTTCATTTTCGACTATGGCTTTGTTTAGATTGAAAAGTTTTTTCACTCTCTCCAATACATTAAATCTCTTTGGACCTATGGAGTATTAAATGCAGATAAAAAATAATTAATTATACAGTTTGATTGTAAATTATAAAATAAATCTTTTAAGCCTAGTTAAGGACGGATAATAATTGTCACGTATGAATGAAAGTGCGTTGAATACTGATTCGTAGCCCCAGTCTAAATGAGGCCTATATGGCCAGTCTAAACGAGGCCTATCTGTTGAGTGCCGATGCTTATCTTCTTCACTAAGCCGGGAGTGGAGTTGAAAAAGGTTTGGAGCGGAGTAGTGCTAAACAGGTCGTAGTTGGCCTGCTTTCATTGGAAAGGAATCAATAGAAGCTACAATTTTGATTGATAACCGGTGTGGTTTGTGATTACAGTATCATCTCTTTAGCCTTTGGATGGCAGTTCGTCGTTTCTTTCGACCCAAAGTTCCAGTGCGTGAGATCACATCGCATTAGCTTCCCTTATAAATAATTTCCAGTGTGCAGTGCGTGGCGTCTGCAAGTTTCCAGTGCGTGGGATCACTGATCACATAGGATTGGATTCCCTAGGAGGAGCAGGAACAGACAGCCAAGCCACTTCACTGGATCGATCACGGTCACGGTCTCACGGCCCCTACCAGAAGAATCCCCACCGCACTCCCCCTTTCCCTGCGCTGTCGAATTGGCCGCCGGCGAGGCGGAGATGGCCGCGCCGATGCTTCTTTCCTCGGAGGACGTGCTGCGCGTCAACGGCAGCCGCCGCTTCGCCGCCGCGATGGCGGCCGCCTCCCCCTTCGCGTCCCTCGCCGACGCCCTCCTCGCCGCTCGACGCATCTGGCTCAACGAGGTGTGTCACATACTCGCCGTCGCCTCTTCTACCTCCCTGCTATATCCCTACTTAAATTTCTGTCCACCCGCGGGCCTTCGCTTCCTGCTGTACTGATGCCGTGCTTGCTGCCCGTGCGCGCGCTACGATCCATCGCTGGATCGGATCAAGGTGGATGTCAACGGATGGCTCGAGGCCTTCGCGGCGCACCCGGCGATCGGAACCACCTCCCCATCCGTCTCCAAGTCGGTGGAGTTTTTGCCCTCTCACCAGTCGCCACCCTCCTATCCACTCAATTCCTCTGCTTAATCAGTTATTATCATCTTGCTGCTGTTCACCTGACACTGCGTCATGGCCAGTTTAATTTAATTGTTAATAAAATCAGTGAATTGAACTTGCGAATCGTTTCACTCAACATGGCACAGGACAAACAAAATGGCACCAGTCGCTGTGTTGGTAATCTCTGTTTCCTTTCTGGTTTATTAGGTGGAGCAAGGAGGAGCAATCAGCGGCGCTCTCCACAGCCACGGATTCGACGGCCCAGGTGCTACATCAGCTCTCAGCTTTCCTTGCGTCTATCATATATAAACTCTGGACCACTTAATTTAGTTTTTTTCGTCCCACCTGCTGCAGGAGCTGGCAGAGTGGAATGCCAGGTACAGGGAGAAGTTTGGCTTCGTGTTCATGATTTGCGCATCTGGGAGGACTGCGCCTGAGGTCTTGGCTGAGCTTAAGGTATGAATACGTCATGTTCATCTTCAGATTCAGTGTCTGTTTTCTGCACTTTGGTATTTTTGCAATGAATTTCTACTTCGAGAAGGACTCAAAACTTATATAACTATGTTTGGATCCTTGCTTTGTCCTTGCCTTTGACTTGTGTAATGAGGTTTTGTATTGTCTGGACTTTCAGCAAAGTCAAAACACCCATGTATTGTTGTTTAGGGATTGATGATAATACATAATAAGACCATTCGTCCACATATCTGTAGTTTCTTTATGAAAATAAAAGCTCCACATGAATCTCAAACCTAGTCAAAACTAAAGTCTTGGATGATGTTTATTATCCCTGACGCTGTTGGGACATATTTCTTATATTTAGCCTTACCTCCTTGGTATACTACATTTTGTAAGCTGCAGCATACTTCACGTCTCATGCATTAACTCAAAGATTGAAACACTATATTTCCTTGTATCCTTATAGTGCCCTCTGTATTATCCTCCTATTTCAGAGGCGTTACACGAATAGGCCAATTGTTGAACTTGAGGCTGCAGCACAGGAAGAACTTAAGATAACTGAACTACGTCTTGCGAAGCTTTTCTCATCGGAGCCTACTGTTCCGTCCACTACAACTGAAGGCCCTGCCACCCAATCAGATAAAGCAGCAGGTATCAATTCCACTCTGTCCGTTTGTAGGTTATACAACAAATGTCTCCCTTTTTTACTTTACATGTTTGTGAGTTTTGTTATATCTATCCTACATCTGTATGCATGTTCACAGAGTAAAATGTCCACACCATATAGCGTACTATGAACGCCGTCAAATTTGTTCAATTCTTACTTATCTGGAATTAAAGTTCTTTCATTCACCTTAGCTACTGTTGAGTGAGCAGCTGGATATGGAATTTGTTTGCCGCCTTCTTATAGTAGGGCATGTACTTTTGTGATCTATTTTGACTAGCAGTCACAATATTGTGTAATGCTAAAAATGAATATTTGTTTGAGTTAGTGCTAAGTTTTTCTTATTGTCATCTTGTTTGCTAGTTGAAATAGTCTAATGGAATTTTCTCTTAATAAATAGAAACAGAAGAAAAATATTGATGCACATCATTTTGCAAGAAATATTTTGAAACAAGAACCATATAGTTCACAGCCATGAGTAAACTATAATGACTTCTGTTGTTGAATGGGAATTTTGTTGTAAAGGACATCGAGTTTCATCTCGTTAACAGTTGATCTGTCTCCATCACCATTCTATACTTTCATTCTCATTCTCATTGATTCATGTGCTTTACTAGCATATTATAATTATTTGCTATACGTATACAGCTTGGATTACTCTTCTTTCTCACCAACTAAATTTTCAAAAAGATCGCATACGGATTATTGGAGCACATCTTGGAGCTCTCCCTCAGTCTTGCGCCAATAAAGCTCCTGAAATTACAGGTAGCTCCAACCGAAGTCGGCCACCCATTACAACCCATGTGCTAGACACTGCCCGTGGATCCCCTGCATCTGGAATCGAAGTTCATTTGGAGATGTGGAAGGATTCTTCAGCTCCTCCATCATTCAGCAACAAGGATTTCAGCGGATGGGCAACTCTAGGCTATTCAGTTACAAACAATGATGGACGCAGTGGTCAGCTGATGGACATCGTCGACAACATTGCTCCTGGCTTCTACCGCATAAGCTTCAACACTCGCAAGTATTCGCCTGCAGGGTTCTTCCCTTATGTCAGCATCATATTTGAGATCAAGGAGAACCAGACGGCAGAGCATTTTCATGTTCCTCTCTTGCATTCCCCTTTCTCATTCACCACTTACCGTGGAAGCTAAGTTGTTAATTTACGTGTAATTACCTCTGTGGGGATGTTCAAAACAACTATGTAAACTTGACACTGCCATTGTGATAATAATCTGTATCCATGTAAGCAGGCTTTAAACTTTTAATAATATTGTCATGTCAATCTTTTTACCAGATATATACTGCCGGATACTGCCCCTTCCAGAAAAGAATGCAATTCTAGTTCTATCTGATCTAGTCAAACTATCTAAAGTTTGGCTAAGTTTATACAAAAGAGTATATTTATTGACACCAAATAAGTGTATTACGGAAATATATGTTGGAGATTGGACATGGAAAACTTTTAGATAACAAATAGAGATACTGATAGCAACTACTACTACTACTACTATAGGTCATATACTTTTGGGACATGTATATATGTATATATCGATTCAGTATCATACCAATGCTCTTAGTCTTTCAGAAACTCTTGAAACATCTATGCCTATTCTTGAGCTAAAGGCCTGCAGTTACCAAGGGAAAGAAATGGAATTGCATGCAAGTTAGAAGTTGTATAGCAGACATTAATTTTAGTATTTGTTGGGTGATTTTTTGTTTACCAAAGACAGAGAGAAAACATGCAGACGTATGGAGACATCAGTTTATTTAGTTCTATTTGTAAATGGCTTTAGAGAAAACAATGACCACAACCGATGAGTGGATCAGGTGTTTTTTTTTTTAAATGAAAACAGAAAAATATAAGACTTTATTGAAGGCTAGGGAAGACGTATGTGGCCTAAATAAGAAGAGAACAGTAGTGGCATACAGCTGAATACTACGTGGATCCCAAACTTTGTCACTATCCGGAAAAAAATTGGGTGCAAACTTTTGTCACTATTCGGAAAAAAATTGGGTGAAGCCCACCCTCCTGTCGTGCAGACCTGTTTGGATCTGGTGACATGTGTCCTAAGAAATTCATCACATGGTCAGATGGTACTCTAAAGATAGACAACTAAAAACTCATCAGGATACTTTGAAAATAGGCAGCTGAAAACCTCACCTCCTAACCGTGTGATGGATTTTTTTAGAACACGTGTCACTAGATTCAAACATGTCTGCACGGCGGGAGGATGCAGCCAGACTGCACCGAATTTTTTTCCCCACTATCCTACATAGAGAATCACAGTGTGAGGTATATGTACCCGGGAGTGGATGGTGTGGAACATTCTGCGGCCGTCGACAGAGAGGTTGGCGCTGATGATCTCGGCGCCTTCTTCTTCCAGCACGGTGACCACCTGGTGCAGCTTGAACGGCCGCCGCACGCTGCTGATGAGCACCACCTCCAGGCTGGACCCGTCGTGGCTGTGCCGCACCTCCACCACCGCCGCCGGCTCCTCCTCTGCTGCACCGGCGGCGGCTTCTTCTTCTGACGACGACCCCGCGGTGGCCGTGGCCGTGCCCGTGCCGGAAGAAGTTGTTCTGACGGCGGCTCCGTCGTAGTCTTCTCCTCTCTTCTTGGTAAGCAAGAGCTGCGCAGAGCTCCTGTTGCGCTGCAGCTCCTCTACTCTCGCCTTGAGCTTCCTGATGTACGCCGTCGCTTCGTCCAGGCAACCCAGCTGGGTCATCGCGTCCTATATATACATACATACAAACAATTATATCATCTAGAAATTCTTTAATTTTGTAGTCCGTGAATACTCAAAAGTCATCAGGCAAGATTCTAAAAAAAAGAAAGAAAGTCATCAGGCAAGGACACAATACCATAGCAGAGAACAATGTATACCTTGGAGTTGGAGGAGCAGTGTTCCTTGGGGATGAGGGAGGCGAGCTTTAAGCAGAGGCTCTTCATGTGCAGCCTCCTGTTCCTCTCGATCTCCTTCCTCTCCATAGCTGTCGTCGTCGTCGTCGTGGCGGTGCCGGTGCCGGTGGTGGTGGTGCTGCTGCCATTGTTGTTGCTCCTGCTCCTTGATCTCCTCCCTGTACCGCCGCTTCTGCTGTTTTTCTTATTAGTGTTCATCTCACCAACAGCCCAGCCTCTCCCTGCCCGTGCTGATCAAGTGCTGACTGTCACAGTCCGACAGATCTGGGCCACGAGAACTGCAAAGGTCGTCAGGCTAAAAATGGCCAATAATCTGTCTGAATTGTGAAAAGCCAATCCGAAATGCACCAGCAGGCATATATCTAATACTATGAAACAGCGCAAGTGGCGAAGCTAATGGTGATGCCTGTGCGTACAAATAGGGAGGGGTCTAGATGTGGTCGGCTCGTATCCAGCTCCTTCTGTACCTGCACTGCACAAAAGCACATATGTTGCCTGTTTATGTACTGTGTGCGATCTCTAGTCTAGCTACATATAGATTGGGAAAGTTCACCGTCACCGGGCTAGGGCTATAGCAAGATGTGTAGACTGACGACACACGTCGTTCATGATGTACATACTTTAACCTATTCACTCGATTGTTTTTGTGGCTTATAAGTCGGCTGATATTGTTTTGTTGTGAGAGAAAAACACTGTATTATGGCTGATACGATCAAACGAACAGGGTGTTTACCTATATACCAGAACGCTTCCACACCTTTTTTTTTTACTCCATACATACACATGCACGCATGAGATATTTTGGCGTTTGGCCTGGGCCAGCAGGGCGCCTCGTTGCTAGGTTTACGGATCGAGTACAGACACATGCATGTATATCTAGATGCAGCCAGCGCTTCTTGACGCACGGTTTTTTCGCATGCAGAGCTTGCGGCAGAGAACGTGTCATCGCCGATATGCAGTCGTATGTCACGTAGTAAGCGGGAGCACGGCTTGCGTGGCTCCGCTGACGCAAGCCACTGTGACGTAGGAGTACGTACGTACGTGGTTCGTGCGCGCGTTTTTTTTAAATGAGTACGTGTGTTTGTTTGCATGTACGTGTGCACGTCCGGCCGGGTCAGCCGGCCGCTCGCTGCCAGCGACCGCGCGTGCCGGCAACGATGGGGAAGGCTGGCCGGCCATCATTGCATATTGCGGCGTCTCGCGCCACCACTCGCCGCAGATAACGCTTGCAGTTGCAGGGCAGCTGCTGCCCCGCGCGTCAGACTCGCCATCGCTTGCTCCCGGCCCAGCATTCAGACTCAGGCCAGGCCCAACGCGCTCCAGGACAGATAATAGTCTCGTCTTGCCACGTCAGAGTCAAGCTACTATCATGGAAGAGAGAGGAGCAAATTAAAAGGCAGTAGCATGAAGGGTGGCAGTGGATCCTACAGAGATAGCAATAGAAAGAAAGAGAGACATCAGACATGTGAGATAAAGTTTGCTGTGTATGCACGTTGCTTCTTTCTTTTTTATGTGCCAAAAAAAAAACACTATGACGCTTCCTTTTGAAGCTATCATGCATTGTAAGGTTGGCACCTCATTAGGAGTATTTGGTATCTTTTCTCACCTAAGATCACCAATACTGTATGTTTGTATTGAGCGTTTCTCGGCGGACCCTGGTTGGCCGATTGGGTCGCACTGTGGCTATTGCTTCCCTCCTTTTTAGAAATGCACATCTCACTCATCGAGGAGTCATTTAAAAAAATTGACTAGATTTATAGAAAATAGTGTCAAAATTTGTATTTTGATAAGTAATGACAACACTTTGTGTAGACTAATATTTTCATTTGAGATGTGAAAGAAATGATTCGTTCACTTGGAGAGTTGAGCTGGTGTACGTGATGGAAAACATAATGCATAGCCCAAGGCGAAGGTATAAAGATATATTTTGCTTTAAACGGGTAATAAGGTAATTAGAGGATGAAAAATGACTAGGTTGATATGTTAGATAGCCGTATTATCAACAGGAGTGAATGTTCTTTTACTTTATGACTCTCTAGTGCCATTTTGCTTGATGAAGTGCATGGCATGCATAAGATGAATGGCGTTTGAAAAGTGAGAATAAAAGGTCTTGAAAAATATGTTTAAAAGGCTAGCCGTGCAAAAAAATTGAGGATTCTCCAAGGCGGACATCCATTTGACTTAGCCGCTTTTGAAATGGGGTTTTGGACTGATTTTTATTGTGTAAGAGACATAAACCCTAGCAAGAGCCTAGTGATTTTGGTCATTTATTGACAACATAATCATTAGGATTATCAATGTTTGCTAGTATACAAGGTACACTAGTTCTAACGGTGCAAAGATGGACTTGAGTTAGGCTACGATGAATATCGAGCAATCAACACCTCAAAAGAAGATAAAAGAGGTGTGTTGAAGACCCTACAAGACATCCAATAAGCTCAAGAAATCAATCAAGCAAAGGGCGAACAAGTGGACGCGAAGAAACAAGACTCAGAGAGCACCAGAGAAATCTGGTGGCCCCAGAGCTATCTGTTGGGGTCACCGAAGATTCCTGGTGGGTCTAGTCCGAAGTAGAGTTGAAATTAGTGCACAACATATATTTTTTGTGTGGGCACTTGTGGCAGAACCGCCTAATCTAATGTCTCCCAGGAGTACTTGTCTTTCATTAGACACTAAGTACTCAAAAGAAGACACTAAACTACGCAGTTTCGTCGAGCACACCCCAAGGGAGAACTCAAAAATCCATATTTTTCCATCAGGATCATTAATGAGAGAATACAGCTTACAATATTCTTAAGTCATTTCTTACATCACTTTATTACAGTAACATAATATTATCTCGATTGATTATAACAGCGGAATATAACAATGTTATCAGAGTTACAAAGGAAGCAAAGATTAATGTAATGATATGGTGGAGCATTAATGTAGTGGACTTTTATATACAAGAGATGCTAGCAGATTTTACATCTTTTCTTATAAAAACCTTTAGTGAGGGTTATAAATAAACACTACGGTCGTAGCGTGAAGGAATCCTCTCTGAGCCCACCAGGAGGTTTCCACACACAAGAGTCAGCTTTAAGTATCCTCCGATCACCTGCAACAAGGGGAATAAAACCCTGAGTGCTCGATTGTACTCAACAAGACTTACCCGACAGGAGGAAAATAAAATACTAAGGATATGCAAGGCTTATTTGGCTTATGGGTTATTGCATCTGCGGAAGCATTACTAAACGTGCGTCCATATATTCAATTTTATTAGCAGTCATCATTGGTTCATTAATTAACCATTCTATGTAAGCACATATGCTACTTTCAAGCAGGTGGTAAGCAATCAGAACTATTTTATCACCTTTCAAGTTCCAGTTCTTACTACAGTGCTCGACCATAGCCAAGTCATAACGTCTCACAGAAACAGCAATTCGCGAATCAATGTATCCTAGTTAGGTACCCCGAAACACACGCCCCGTTTGTACCCAGGCACAAACAAGACCAACCCATTCTACTCCTGTCACGGGGTTCAGATCCCCGTCCAAACTTGGAATCTAAGCCTCCACACTTGAGCCCTGGTCTCAATATGGTGCTTAGACCTTTACCTTGCCCCGCCTCCAATCAGTCGGTCCGGAAAGTGCCGGAACCCACGACAAGAGCGTAACGAGCCTTTCCGCTCCCATAAGCAAGTATGTGTTTAGGATAATAAGTCTATGACCTGACTACCATTCACAACAATGGACGGTCCTCAATCGACACAGGCGGAACAAATGCAACCTGAGCCTCGCTCGAATGCCTAACCAAGTCCAAATCCAAAGTACCATTCCGCCCGGTCTCCAATTATCATTCATATATATTCCATGTGATAGTAATATAATAATAACAATAATATCTTTCCTATCTCTCGCAAATGACAGGTAATCACTTGACTTCTACCGAGTCCTATAGTAGAGCAATCTACACGATCCTGACATACTAGTAGGACTCATAGGGTAAGGATATATATATGCAAGTGGTTTTTATTCAACTCCTTAAAACTTAATGCACAAGCATAAAATAAAGTACATAATAATAGGGGTTATGCACCGGGGCTTGCCTGGGTAAGATATAACCAAAAGTTAGCATTCTATCATGGTGACACGATCATCAAGGCACCATCTTTTCCGCTACTCCGATCATCTCCACGATCTATCGTTGTTCCTATTATGATATACGTGGATGCAACGCAGAGACGTAGATAATCAATGACAACCGTAACTCTTAGAAAAAAGATTACGCCTCGCAAACTAATGAGATAGCTCTAATAACTAACGTACTACTACGTACCCACGTCGTCAGGTAAGGCTTCGTTTCAAAAAAAATATTTTAGTCCTACAATCCCAAGGTGTTTTGGTTTCTTATAGATTAAATTTATATATTCAAACTAGGGCTCATTTAGCTACCTTAGCAAATTAATTATTATGGAGCTACAAAAATTACAGTGAGCACCTCATAATATTAGGAAGCTACTGTGAAATTTCTAGAATTAACACTAGCACTGATTAATCATAAAAATTCCTAGAAGTTTATACCTTAACAATATGAAGCATCTTAATTTAATTAGATAACTCCTAAAAATACTATGAAACTATGTGAACAAGATAACTGGTAGATAGATCATGATTTTAGAAACCTAACAAAATTAGTTTCACAATTTTTGACCAACTACACAAATTTATATTGCATTTACAAGTTTGCCTTAGAAACTAAATTAGAAAATGCTTCAGGAAAAGAAAAGGGCCGGCGACAACCAATTCGGCCCGGCAGCCCAGCGACCCAGGCACGAGGTGTGGCAGTGCACGCGTTGCGATGGCCCAGCACGGCCCAAGGCCGAAAGAGCCTGCGCACACGGCACAAATTGCAGAAAGGACCCCGCCATTTAGATTAAACACGCACTGCGACGCCGCACTATTTCCTCAGCCTTAAGCTTTGCGAAAACCACCCCCAAAGAAGTCACCTTCTCACTAAGCCAGTCCCCGACGCGTCCGCGCGACAATGCGGTGGCCGACGACGAACCACGGTTGCCCTAAGCAAAAGGGACCCATTTAGGCCAAACTATAGGACCGACCACCACCTATGGTTCAGATGGCGACGATGGGCAGTGGTGGGATATTGGGAGGTGCCCTAGGATACGATGCAGCGACAGGCGGTGATTCACGATGATGGTG